TCTACTACAGAAAACCGACAAGAAAAACAACCCCACTGCTGCACGTGCTTTCTCTCTAGAACACCTGGAAGACAACTGGCCGTCTGATGACTGGGACCATGTGTACACGGATGGCTCACACAATCCTGAAAGGGGCACCAGCTCGTTTGGAATATACCTGCCAAACGGGGAACAGGGAATAAGCAGGAAACTGCCCAATAACTGTTCGGTGTACACTGCAGAGCTTGTGGCCATTCGTGACGCTATATCATGGATTTCCCATCAAAAGACTAGTAAGTTCGTCATTCCAAGCGACTCTCTGAGCAGTCTGATTTCAATCCAAAATGACAACTCGGACTCAAAACCAGAAGTCATTTTGGAAATCAGGCAGCTGTACCAGAGGGTTTTAGAGAAGGGAAGCAAAGTAGAACTCGTGTGGATTCCATCACATGTCAACATTAGAGGAAACGAGGAGGAGGCAGATTGACTCGCCAATGAAGGTCTCAAGGACACAGCACCACTCCGCACCATAGACTACAGCACTGAAATCTACAGTATGGTCAAAAGACAGGTCAATTCAATCTGGGAATTAAATCTCGTTGAACTTGACACATACAGATTCCGGCTGGATGACAAGATCTACACAAAGACAACACTCAATCACTCTAGAAGAGATATTTGTAGACTTATATCGAAGCAAAGGGTGAAAGAGCGGCTGCGAGACTACAAACACCAAGTCATCATCTGTGAGTGCGGAGAAGAATGTACCACCAACCATGTCCTGGTAGACGGCGAGGTATACGAGGAGGAGAGAAGGGAACTAGTGAGAACAATGGAGATAAACAACATACCATTCAACACTAAGAACCTACTCTTCCCGAGACCCGATCTAAAACTGGAAATCTTCGAACAAATCCACGCCCTAATGGACACAGTTGGACTAAGTAGAATAGTGAAGTAAGAGGGGGTCACGGTTAGACGGACCCGGCATCTAAACACTAAACTACATAGGGGATTTGTACCAAACTGGCAGGATAGTGGAGTAAGGGGGAGTCACGATCAGACGGACTCGGCATCTAAACACTATTCCACCAAAAACAGACACCAAACCTACAGAGTGGGATAGTGGAGTAAGGGGAGGTCACGATAAGACGGGCCTGGCACCTAAACACAAACCCCACAAAGATGACATCTACCAAACTAGCAGGATAATGGAGTAAGGGGGAGTTACGGTCAGACGAACTCGGCACCTAAACCCTATTCCGCAAATAAAACTGATACCAAACCCAGAGAGTGGGATAGTGGAGTAAGGGGAGGCCGCGATAAGACGGGCCTGGCACCTAAACACTAACCCCAAACGATGACATCTACCAATCCAGAAGCAGACGAGATCATCTACCAAACGATATGTTTTATATTAAATAAAGGGAAGAACTTCCCACTAAACCAAATCCATGGCCTAAGGCCAAATGGAAAGATTGCAAAAACATATTCTAAAAAACAGGAATCAGATTCGGCTCTCCTATGTCTTGTCTGCGATATCACTTATGTGGAAGCAGACGTTAAACACCAAGAACCAACTAACTAACTAAATAATTTTAATCAGATTGGTTTGAACTTGCCGTAAAATGGTTATAGTAACCATTGGCTATAAGCACATTCAATTAAGATTTTTAATCTTATGTGGTCTTTAATACTTTGACTATGTTCGATAATGAGCATTTTCTGCTCAGGGTTAGCGGAGCAATAAGCAATTTGATTGGTCAAGACTTTGGAACATAACAACTCTGCTTTTAATTGAGAGAGAGAGAGAAAAATGGGGTTTAACGTCCACTCGACACAAACTAGGTCATTTCGGGACTAACATATGGTTTAATTTTATTTCAATAATTCGCTTGCGCGTAGGGGTCTTTAGCAGTGGGAGGAAACCGGAGGACCCGGAGAAAACCCACGAGGTTGGACAGGCGACCCTACTCCTTCTGCTTTTAATTGAAGTAGAATGTTTAAACTTGATGTAGATGTTCAATAGGTGAATGTCTTGACTGAGTTCAATGATTAACATTTTGAGCTAAAGCTATGCAGAGCTGAGTAATTTCGTGGTCAATGCTTTGGGACAAGATAACTTTGATTCTATTTCATAGAGAGTGATGAAACTTAGTGTATAGTTGATAATCAGTTTGATTGCTTGATATTTTTATAAAAAATAAATGTTCGATTAATTAATATGTGTCATCTATTTATTTCTGCCTAAGCAGAAAATGTTCATCTTCGTACTGCATCAGAGCATTCACCTGTACATCAAGTTTGGACATTCTTGCTCAATTAGAAGCTGCGCTATTGTGTCCCAAAAAGTGTGATGGATGGACAGACAGACCCATTTTGACAGTCCATTCCTTTCTTTCAAAGACTGGGTAAAAACCACTGAAGCAACACATACATACCAATTAACTAGCTTCATTCACTAAAATATGTGTGACTGCTCACTAAACAAATATCATTTCCTCAACTAATATACAAATTTGTAGAGTTCGTGCTAAACACGGGCTTAATTAATGCATTAGATGTTGTAAACATTTAAAAATCGTTAAGTACCAACATTTTACCTGATTTCAAAGTTTTACACTTTTTTAAAAAAAAAATCAATTTTATGACGTCACTTTTAAATTAAAAACTAGCTCAAATATGAAAAAATTCTAATTCTGCCGATCAATTGCCAATAGTAAATGGTTTCCAAAAATATAAAGATATTGAAAATCGGATAAGAATTGTGGGAAGAGATAGCTTTTGAAGATTGGCTTACGTTTTCAAAATGGTGGCACTTCCAGTGAATTCTAACTCGAAGAGATTACTCTAAAACGTTGATAGACGACTCCTATTGACAAATATCTTTAAATAAGCCAAATTCAAAGAAGTTGAAAATCTGACCTCGTTTTCAAAAGGGGGGTAAACCATTTGCAACGGATTCTGGAAGTCGAAAACTTCAATCATAAAAAAGTTACACTTGGAAATTTCACTGTTTTAATTTTAAGCTTAAAATTAGGTAGTCTCTATCATCCACAAAATTATTCTACGAATAAGTCTGGATGCCTTTGTCAACATTTGAGAATAATAGGTCATCGGCTAGATTGTCCAGTCTTTTAAATTATCATAACAAAGTCTAAGGGAGGTAACTAGTTCTAAAACAAGATGTTGACGCCCATGAAATTAATTTAAGAATGCCATTTCAAAAAATCCATTTGAAATTGCATTGCCAGTTCGATATCCAACACTCTTATTTTTTTATTGTAAAATGTCGCTCTTCATGGGCCATATCTATGTTTTTTAAAAATTATCCTAATTCGTCGTCACGATTCTTGTTTGTTTATATGAATGCAAGAATTATGGGATTTATTGCGGAAAGGGGCGCAACTCTTACTTGACTTGACCAAAGATACTGGATAATCAACCACATTAAAAACCAAACTCTGGTTACGCATGGGCAATGAATTTATTCGTCAAATATTGACAACGGTCCCAGACCCTCCGTACGTTGAAGACTATGAGGTACTGGGTCACCGAGACTCAAAATTAGGTCATAGGCTACGCATGCGTGGAGACAACATTCTATTGGACAAAACTTGCGAATTACGAACACCCAGACCCTTATAAGGCTCTACACCACAAATAAAACTATTTATTAATGAATCAGGGTGTTAGCGCAAAAATGTTCCCATAAGAGGGAGACGCTACACACCCTGAAATATTTTTTACACTTTTATTTATTTGACTAAATAAGTATTGATTGTAGATCATATTAAGCCACCATATATGTATTATTGTATTTATTAACTCCTAATAAATTTTGATTGAATGTATATCACACTTACTTGCCATAAATGCAATTTTTTTTTTTAATTATCCTCTTTTCCACTAATCACATTGTAAATTATTGCACCTTGAATACATAACATGTTATTGTCTGCGATATCACCTCGGTGGAAGCGGACGTAAAATACAACTAACTAACAACAACACCTTACCAATTGGTGGGTTTGGGATGGCCTCGTGGTCTAGAGTGTCACGCTTTGACCTCTAGCTGGCCGGTAACCTCTGGCTTGCGGTTGTGGTTTCGATCCCTGGTGTGAGGTGGCTTGGAGATAGGGGCGCCTTCTCAACCTCGTGGGTTTACCCCGGGTAGGCTACTCAGGTTTCCTCCCACAGGAAAGACCCCTGCAAGTGCGCTAAGTTAATGAAAATAAAATGTCTGCGATATCACCTTCGGTGGAAGCGGACGTTAAACACTAAGAACAACTACAATTGGTGAAAACCGCAGTTTAAAAGTTATTGAAAAATAAAAAAGTTTCCTTTGATTTTGATGTCTATTAATTAGGCCTATTGGTCTATTTTCGTCATGACGAATATGTAGGCTACTATTTTTCTAAAAAGAGTAGGAAAATATTAAAAAAATAATCTTTATAAAAACAATAATTAGTTTGTATTCAGTAGCACGATTTACCCAAAACTTTGAGATATATTGACGTGCTTATACGGAGGGTTGAGAGGTGAGGTTTCTTATCTACCCAAATCCACTCTGGCCTTATTTCAACTCATATAATAATAAGTTATATCTATATTATAATATACTGTTCTTTATGTCAAATTAGCAATTTTAATTTAAAATCGTAACGTTTTTGTTTCAAAAATGTCCCTCAAAATTGAATTCCCAAGCGAGCGATTTCGTGCAAATACACGAGTTAGGCCTATACCCCTTGGTTACAACTTAAAAACTTAATTGCTTGGAAATCGCATTTTTAGGGGGGATTTTGGCACAAAAACGTTAATGAGGCATCATTTTGTTTATGGATAAAAGACCACAATTTTTGTATGCATGGTGAATTAATATTTGATTATTAATATTAAACAAGTTAAATTCAACAGAACCAACGTTTTTTTTAACTGGTACCCAATAATTTGAATAAACCTAGCTTTTCGGAAAGGAAGAAAAAACGGTTGATCACATGATCGGAACAAGCGCTTTCTAAGTCATGTGACCTTGAATGACCAATAATACGGCTTGTTTTGTGTTGAGGCGATCAAGTACGTCGATAAAAATTGTATCTACCTTTCTTGGGTAGAGATTTCACTCGACATGCCAAATAAACCCAAAAAGGATAAGGTGAGTATTGTTTAATGTTCTAAGGCAACGAACATGAAAAACACGACGCCGAAATATGCTGTAATTGCTAAATTTCCTTAATTTGTCGCTGATTTCGTATGTAAAATTTTGAAGTGACGGGCAGTTGTTAGGAAGAAGAAACAGTGTTCTATTCATTTCCTTGTAAATATTTATTATTTCAGCCGGTCACGAAGACAACAGCAAATTCTAAAACTATTACCAAGGATGGACCGGAAAATGTTGATGGGGAGGTAAGATCATAGTGTAGATTACTTCCATGACATAATTATCAATGGGGTAGCCATATTGACATGGATTTCAACATGGCGGTCAGAGAGGCATTCGGTCGGGAGAATTAACGAAAATGATTAGACTCTTGAGTACAGTTCATTTGGAAAACACCCAGGAGACCTACAAAATTTTAGTTTTAAAAACACGTCGTTCGAGATGTTGAAAATTAATAACATCAAACTAAAATGCTTACTGCTTGTTGTACTGGACTGTGTACAAACACTGTGTGTGTGTAGGCCTACTGTAGGGACAGTGACTGAGTGAATAACCAGACCTAAAGATAATGTATATAATAAAGGATAAAGTTGACTTTTCTAACATTAAAAATGAAAAAAATATATTAGAAACTTACATACAAAAAGTATTTAGAAAAATTCCTAATCAATGAGCATGATGCACATGTGACATAGACTTGCCAAGCCAAATCTTAAATGCATGATATTATTTATGCATTGTAATTGTACACGATACAGGTGAGATAGGCTAATCAGCACTAATACACATAGGATGCTTTAGTTAAGAATCTAGTAATACTAGCTACCTACAGTTTCATTGCTCATCTTGATTGGTGCTCTCACAAATTTAATTGAAAGTATGATTAATATAAGCTCAAAATAAATAACAAAGGCATCCTATTCTATCAACTGCAAGGTCGCAGAAGGAAAGAGATAACTAAATTCGCAGGCAGCTATTAAACTGTAACTTCAGTGATCATGTTATGGGGTGATTTTTAAGTTTTCAATTAGAATAGGATTCACTGATATGGGTTGTAAATTGTTTTCATCAATTATTTTGGATAGTCTCCATTCAATTTCCGTGTAAATGTATGTCAAACTACAAAGATTAGCTTAAAGTGTTCCAAATTTAATTCTTTCTTTTTTGGATTAAATGTCAACTTTAAATGTTAATTAATATGATGCAATCAATATTATAATTGTTTCTTTAGGCTGCCAAAAAGAAGCAACAGAATTCTACAGAAGCACACCCCCCTCCAGCTCCAATAGCCAAAATAAAATTTCCAGGCACACCACATGTCAAGAAGGATAAACGCCAAAATTCGTCAAGATTTAATGTGACCAAAAACAGGGAATTGCAGAAGTTACCATTATTGAAAGGTATTTTATCTTTAAATAATTTTAAAGAATTTCTATCTACAGCCATTTCCTGCTTATTTAATCATGCATTTTATGCATGTAACTTCCATGGGTCAAGGATATAAGCTTAAATGTCAAAAATCTATCTGTAAATAAAATAATTAGATTGATGAAGTAATTGCATATTTATAAAATAATGTTTATAATTAAGTGTCGTCTTTGTATAAATATATTCTGACTTCAATTTCAACCAAGCTTAATAGTACAGTAGGTCATTGGCAGTGTTTTACCTGGTTATATTTATTCTTTTTTTTTCTTCAAAAATATTTTTTACTAAACAATTGAAATGATAAGATGTAGCTTGAGGGAAGTGTTGACTTGTGTTTGTAACACCAAGTTTAATGTTTATCATGACTGGACTGTGACCTGATTATTGATGTTATAGGTCAATCAATCAAAGATACCAAGATATATTGTGTATAACACTTACTTACATGTATACATGGTAGAAATACATTTATAGCTATATCATCCATATACTTATAACCATGTTGTTATTTCGTTTAATGCAAAATAACTCGGGACTAATACTTAACTCTAATACAGTAGCCTAATAGTTTGTGCTAAAATTAAAGATAAATGCTTGTACGAATATCAGAAATTGTTTAGATCTATTCAATGTGACACTTTGTATTCTTCATACAAAAATAATAAAAATCAAAACTATGTTCTTTCTTTAAAGATACATTATGGGAGATTAGATAAAGAACTGGCAGTTCTCACTATAATAGTTAAAAACTAGATGATGTAAAGGGAATTAGCTGAAAAATTTCAGTCAAATTGGTCCACTTTGAACCGAGAATTTATCGATTGAGTTTTCGGCCTAACCTCAATCATCATTACTTGAGTCGGTACAATAAAAAAACATAGTCTCGATTATCCATTTCATGATTCAATTATGAATGAAAGTTGAGCAGCAAATCGGATCCTAATCCAGGAAATATCACAGGATAGAGATGACATCGAGAGTTGATGATTGTCTGGCTAAGTTAATTAATGTCTAATTAATAATTTAGATAACATTTCAGGCCTAAAGATAGACCTGCAATAGACAGATTTAGCTCTTGCATAATGTATGTTTAATAAATCATACAAATAGAAACTGACATACATGTACCGTAGTATTATATTTATTGTTTTCAAGTGATAATAACAAAAAGAAAAAAAAACGAAATAATTATGTCACTCACTCACTCACACTAGACTATAAAAATTTAGATCTGTAATTATTGTTTAACAAAATATAGCCATAGGCCATTTAGATTTTGTTGTGGTTGTTTTTTCAATAACTGAACTAGAAAAAAAATTGTCAAGGTTTTTCTGCCACATATGTAGATTTTCAAAGTACAGTAACTTGAACATGTAAACATGTATGGCTATGATCATCATTTTTAGACGCCCACATATAAACATGTATGACTATGATCATCATTTTTAGACGGCCAAATGAAAATGTTGCCGTATATTGTTGTTGCCCCTGTCCGTCCACAATTGTTTGTCGACACTCTACAAGTCGCAATTCTTATCTGATTTTGACGAAACTTGAATAGGTTTATCTCCAAAAGATCATGGTTCCTTTCGATATTGGCATGTAACAGATCGAAATTTCATGGATTATGGCACCTGATAGTGATTGTACGAAAAATCACGTTTTTAGCTTGTGGACTTTCTAGAGGTCACAATTTTCATCTGATTTTGATGAAACTTGAAATGCATGTTTATAAATGAAATGAAATGGGGTTTAACGTCCTACTGTTCTGCTCCTAAACTGGGCTAACGAAGACGGACATACGCTATAATGTACAGTGTGCTATGAGGGAAATTTTGCCCGGGCAGCGGCGCTACGGCCTGCTCTTTATATCGAATTCCAACTGCCAAGGGAAATGAAATGGGGTTTAACGTCCTACTGTTCTGCTCAAAACTGCAATATGTACACGGGACCTCGGGTTTTTGTCCCATCCGAACGACTAGACAGCTGTCCTTGTCAGGCCCTCCGTCCTGCATCACTGACAAGGGGAAACCAGGCCGTAAAATCTGGATGAACTTTCTCGGCCAATGCAGGGATCGAACACCCGACCTCCAGGCTAGCAAGCCAGCGTCTTACCCACTTAGCCACGTGATCCGCCTGCATGTTTATAACCTAAAGATCTTGGTTCCTTTCGGTATTTGCACAAATCGGATCGTAACTTCCTGAATTATGACCCCTGATTGTACGAAAAATCACATTTTAAGCTTGTGGTCCCTCTAGAGGTCACAATTTCTATCCAATTTAAAAAATTGTTTGAATATATCAATGTTACACCCTAATGATGGTTGAGTTCAAATTTCATGAAAATCAAACCGAAACTGCCTGACATAATGACCGCTCCTTACAAGCAAATTGTGTACAAGTATGTAATACGAAGTTTGTGTATTCTAATAGAGGTCACAATTTTTGTCAGATTTTGATGAAACATAAAATATATCTTTATATCCCTTTCGAGATTTGCGCATTTGAGACCAAAACGTCTTGGATTGTGACCCCTGATTATACGAAAAATCATGTTTTTTGTCCCCCGCCTTTCGAAGAAAGCAGGGGACTATAAAATGGGTTCGTCCGTCCATCTGCCTGTCAGTCATACTTTTTTGGACACAATAACTCTCTTTCTAATTGAGCTAGAATGTTCACACTTGGTGTAGGTGTTTATTAGGTCAATACGGGGGGTTGGATGGTCAATGGTTAGCGTGTGCGCGCTGTATCATAAAGCCTGTCATTGAGTCAACTGGTGTGGTTTCGATTCCCCGGTTGTACGTGACAAGGAATAGGGTCGCCTGTCCAGCCTCGTTGATTTTCTCTGGTTTCCTGCGACAGCTAAAGACCCCTACGCGCAAGCGAATTATTGAAATAAAATTGAACCATACTTTAGTCCCGAAATGAACTAGTTTGTGTTGAGTGGACTTTAAACCTCATTTCTCTCTCTCTCTCTATTAGGTCAATGCCTTGATGGAGTTCGAAGCTGAGTGCATATTTTCTGCTTAGGGTAAGCAGAGATAAGCAGTTTGATTTGTTGATGCTTTGGGACACGATAACTTTAGTTCTAATTTAAAAGTGAGAGTGATGAAATTTGGTGTATAGTTTTATTACATCAATGCCTTGACTAAGTTCAATAATGACCATTTTCTGCTCAGGGTAAGCAGAACGATAAGCAATTTGATTGGTCGAGACTTTGGAACACAATAACTCTCAATGTAATGTTCACACTTGGTGTAGGTGTTTATTAGGTGAATGCCTTGATGGAGTTTGGAGTTAGAAGATGAGAATTTTCTGATTCTAAAGGGTAAGCAGAGATAAGCAATTTGATTGGTTGATGTTTTGGAACACGATAACTTAAGTTCTAATTCAGTGAGAGTGATGAAACTTGGTGTATAACTAAGTTCGATAATAAGCAATTTGATTGGTCAAGACTTTGGAACATAACAACTCTGCTTTTCATTGAGGTAGAATGTTTAAACTTGATGTTGATTAGGCGAATTTCTTGACTGAGTTCAATGATTAACATTTCGAGCTGATGCTAAGGCCGTGTTGAATTGATTCCTTGTTTCTCCTGCCACCACTCTGGCAATCATGTGCGGTAGTGCGGTAAACACAACACAAAGTGGGTTTCAAAACACAAAGTGGTCTGGCATAATACCTATATAGTCTGAGGGTTGTGTACCATTTTTAATAATATTATAAATAATCTAGTTTTATTATTGGTTAGAATAAAAACACATTTGATTAAATAAATATTATCTAAATTTAATAACAAACTAAAATTTGGTAACAAGTGGCTTCTTTGTTTAACTTTTTAAAAAATGAAATAACCATATTTTGATATAAATTTTCCGTATTCTTGTGTTACAATACAATGGAAACATTCCACTTAGACGAAATTTGATTCGCTTGTTGAGTTATAGATGGTTTCGACAATATCATCGAACGTGAAAGTGCTGGGAATACACACCAAAGTCGAGTCGAGATAAGTAAATTCGCGTACCGGTCGGCCTAATTTATTGATGTTCAAGGAAATAATAGTGGTCGCGTTCGTTCGTTCGTTCATTCGTTAAACTCCAGAAACGAACGAACGGGACCACTATTATTTCCTTGAACATCAATAAATTAGGCCGACCGGTACGCGAATTTACCTATGTCCCGGCATTGCTCACCATTTTGTAAGGCGTGCGTTATTTATTACACAAGATATGATTGGGTAATACTTGAATAATAATGACGTGTTATAATTTTAGCCAATGAAAAAATTGATTATTCAGGTTCCCGGTTGAATATTAGCGACTGTCTTACAGAATATAATATGCTTTCTCATTAGCCGAAATGACTGCTACACGCGCCATTTTGCGGAATTCATCCAATCATATACAGTGTAACTTATTCCATAGTATGCGGGCCCCTACATGTGTATTATCAACCGGATCCATTCACTTGATTTGATATGTGTTTATTCGGTGCAATGCCTATTTTCTGTCTTGTCCGCAGGTTTATCTTGTAGATTTTTGGTTTGCGTGTAGTGCGCCCCACCCCTGCACTTACTTATTTAGTTCGTAACGAGGAATAAACAACTAGAATTGACTTCTGATGTTTGGTAGAATTTTTTTTTAGATGTTATTAACGTAATTATTTGAATATTTTTTTTTTGTGTTAAAAACGTAAGCGCACGATTTTCGGGGTCCTCGATATAAGCGCGCGGGCGAGGAGAAACAAGGAATCAATTCAACACGGTCTAAACAGAGCTAAGCAATTTCATTGGTTGATGCTTTGGGACACTTAGAGATAACTTTGATTCTATCTGATGGAGAGTGATGTAACTGAGTGTACAGTTGATAATCAATTTGATTGCTTGATACTTTTGAAAAAATAAATGTGCGATTAATTAATATGTGTCATCTATTTATTTCAGCGGGGGGCATCAGCCTCACTGTTGGCT